AGAAGGAACAACCGGCATTAAATAACTTGATTGAACCAGTTGACGGTTTCCCCTCTCTACAGCTACCCCTACAGTCATCGGGAAAAGGCCGCCACGCTATTCGCAACCATCCAAGGGTAAGAAATCACCAAAAACCAACATCGCAATGCCCTCCAGACCGTCCTTCAACGACCTGCCCCTCCGAAAGGACGGTCCTCCAGGCAATGCTTGGGGCCTCTTCGGGCCAGACGACCAGTGCGGCAGGCTCAACCTTCTCACGCCAGAGACCACGGCCAATGCAGCTCGCGAGATTGTCGACGGAGTGCGCATCTCAACTGACCGGTACCTGGACAGCATGGCGCCTCCCTGCTTTGGCCGCCGTCCCCTGGAGCATACTCTGATGCACAAGGCCCCCATGACCGTGACTGACGACGAATTGGTGCTCAACACGCAGAGCAGTTCGCAGTGGGACGGGCTGCGGCACTACGGCTATCAGAAGGAGAAGGTGTATTTCAACGGCAAGTCGCAGCAAGACATCTCAAGCTCGAATGTAAATGGAATTCACGGTATGGCCTGGCCCCTGGGTCTCTCTCGGCATACACAACGGTGGCGTGTAAGTGCTCACTGCTAACGAACCTGCAAGCATGGGTTGAAAACGGGGGGATCGTAGGCCGCGGCGTTCTTCTGGACTATGCTGCCTGGGCAGACGCAAATGGAGTCCAAATTACACCATTTGAAACTGTTTCAATCCCGGTGTCTACGTTGGAAAAAGTTGCTGCTGCCCAAGAAACATCCTTTAAAGAAGGCGATATTCTCTTTATCCGCACCGGCTGGACGAGGGGGTACCAAAAGCTTTCAGCCGGGGACAAGGCCGCAGTCGCTGCTAAACAACCCCCTCCGTCTATTGGCGTCGAATCTTCCGAAGAAACTCTGCGATGGCTGTGGGACAAGGGGTTTGCTGCGATTGCGGGTGATCATCCGGCCATGGAGGCGTGGCCGTGCCAGAATCTCGACTTTCAACTACACCAATGGGTGCTGGCGGGCTGGGGCATGCCGATTGGCGAGTTATTCGACTTGGAGAGACTGAGCGAGGAGTGCAGCAAGAGGAATAGATGGACTTTCTTTTTCAGCAGCATGCCTCTCAAGGTGAGCAGCTTCATTGTTGAATGTAGATTGGGTGCTGACATTGATAGGTTCCCGGCGGTGTGGCCAGTCCACCAAATGGCGTGGCTATACTTTGATGGTTAGCCAAGAGGAAATAGTGTACTCACTGTTGATCTCATGGTAGTTAGTTGGTTTGCATCTGAGTCGATAATATCCCTCATGTGAAACGTTGCTCTGTGAAATGTTGCACAAATGTATATAATAGTTACGTGGTCTGCCATGCCACGTCTTCTCCCTCCATGCGCATGCCATCATGGCACAACACCAGCATCCCTCTCTAACACCTCCTTTCCGGGACACCACTTGTCCTGCAGCTCCCTGTCGAGAGTCTTTCCAATTACATCCTTGTCCCACCACTCGCCCCAACTCGTCAAGAAAATGCGATCTGAATCCTCTGGAAAGTCACTACGAGACAATGCCGCAATAACGCTCTGTGCACCCTCGGGCACTGACTTGGCATCGGGCAGATTCTGGGGAATCTGGAAGCCTGAACCGCGCCCAAGGCCAGTGTTGGGAATCAGTCCCGGCGAAACAGCCACAACGTCACACTGGCCATTGAGCTGGCGACGCCACCAATGCGCTCCGAGTAGTTGGGTGAATTTGCTGCCGGCATACACAGAGTAGCCGTCGGCTCCGGAACCATTGGCAAGCCTTGCTTCAAGGACGGCTGTTCATTGTCAACTTCCCAAGCGCCGCGCCGAGTAGGACAAAGGTAGGCTGATCAAGAGACGTACCAGGATCTTCAACATTGCGAATAGCACCAGAAGAAACGACGACAATTCGCGCCTTGGAGGCAACCAGCTTCTCGCGAAGCAAGTGCGTCAAATAATGCTGAGCTGAAGCCAATGTTTAGCTACCAAGGCCGATGCAGCCCAAAGTAGATGCACAAAGACTTACAAAAGTGGTTCACAACAGCCGCCTCGCACCACTTCCCAGGAGACTCCTTGTCCGCAGGTTTGAACATGCCGGCATTCAGGAGCAAATAATCAATCTTGCCGCCGGCGACACTCTCCAGCGCCTGCTGAGCAAAGGCCTTGACCGTTTTCAAGTCGGCCAACTCGAGGGGCAGTACGGCCACGGCATTGGCCGTCTTGTCGTACTGAAGACGGGCAACGGCATCACTGGCGGTTTTGATGTCTCGCGCTCCGAGGATGACTTTGTAAGGAGTGGCCTGCTCCAGGAGCTGTTTGAGCACTTCCAGGCCCTGATATCCGCGTTAGTCTGCATTCAAGTGTATCAGTGGGCATTCCCACACCTACAATGCCCGAGGAGAGGCCTGTGGCGACGATGGTCTTTGCAACAGAAGCCATTGTGTGGTGATTTGGCGGCCAGTGGTGGTTTCGTGGCCTGTTGGGAGATTTATACTTTTGGCCCAGGTGGTCAGCAACTGGTCATGATGTCACGGCGTACGCCAATAGCATTGGTCCACTGCCATGTTGGCGAGGCTTGAATTTCAGCTGACGGCTTACTCCGCATTCATGGGAGGTGATGCTCAGGGCGAATACATAAACTCCTGCGGCGGCGGGGTTAAACGGAAATAACACTGAGACGTGAGGTAAAGAGGCTTTGCTGGACATCTCAGAAGCACTTGCGGAGAAGATGATGGTTTGTCTTGTAGGAGCATGTCTATGTAATCGTAATCAAAACACAAGTGTGATGCGACTAAATTGCAGATGATTTAGTTCAGGCCTGGTTGGTTAAAATCTTCCATGCACGTGGGAATAACTACAGAGAGCGCAACTTGGAGTCCGGTTTGGCCATTGGCTCCCATAGGTGGCAGTTTACTCTCACGATGTCTATTCACCAGACTTCATCAAGCAAAGGTGAAGTACGCGCAATTTACACTCCACACCCTCATTCAAGCGTCAAACTCTTCAAATGCTCTCCGCAGTTGCCTCCTCACCAACAGTTCCGGGCTATCATCGTCCCCTCGCAAGATGGCCTCCAAGCACAAAACACCATTACACCGGGCCATGATGACGCCCTTGCACACGATATCCGCCTCGTATCCCGCCCTTTTCGCCACCCGGGCTGCCATCCTGGCACCAACAGCCACCGCCAGCCCGGAAACCTCAATCGACGGACAGCCAACCCGGGCATCGCTCCAGTCAATCACGCCCGTAACCCGACCGGCCGCGTCGAGAAACACATGTTCCCCCTTGAGGTCTGCATGTGTCAGCACTCTCCTCACGCTGCTGCCAGGCTGAACATGCCCAGGGGCGTCCAGCTTCGCCAGCGAAATAACCTCGTCCAACTCCATCAACTGTTGCCTCCTTCGTAAAACGTCCAAAGCCGCCGTCGCACGACCGCGCACTTCATCCAAATCCACCTCCTCGCCCTCCGGAACACCAATGCCCAGGGCGTCACCAACACGCACGCCTGCCAGGCCGACCAAGAACGCTACCAAATCATCCTCGGTGCCCCTCGTCACTCCCCGAGGGTCCGATTCCACAGACACACCCTTCGCCTTGTGGTACAAAGCGTACTGCCGGCCGTGGGGGTTCCAAACCCCGACGTCAATACACAGCGGGACAAGGGGTGCGAGTTTGTCATTTCTTCGCAGCAGGTCAAGCAGTCTCCTCTCTCGGAGAAGCGGTTCTCCGCCGCTGCCCTGGTCGGCTGGAACCCGGAGGACGAGGGCGTCGTTTACCGTCCAGACGAGATGTTCGCCGCCTTCGCTGCAGCGGCGGATGTCCAGCGGCGGCGGGGGGACATGACGGAGAGACTGGACGAGGACGAGGGCTTCTGAATCCGAGACACGTAGTTTGCCCATTCTGCTGATGTTGTTTTAGCGCTACTGACCTCTTTATCAAGATCGCCGTATGGTCTGAATCCATGGCCTTTTTGTCATGTTTGTAATGGGAATTCAGGGCATTAAACCGGTCGGCGATGGGCAGAGGCGCTGGTGTAAGTGCATTGGCCGGGTGAGTCAGACGGCAGCGGCCATCGTGGCCATCCTGTTGCAGCGCGGCGTTTTACGGCGAGCCACAGCAAAGATGGCTTGAACGGGGCCTTGCTTGATGGCAGCAAGCAATAGTAGTCATGTTGAACGTCTTGCGGCCCGAGATTGTGGCACTGAGCTGGTCCATGGGCACGTCCATGTCGCTGCGTTCTAATTCATGGCCGTTGATGGCCCCCGCATGACCATCCACCACCAGACTTTACTTGATCTTCTCGCCAGGGTAGCTGCCGAGTTCTGATACAGCAAGAGATCAATGCCCTCTGTTGTACGGTTGTGAACTTGTGACGTGATGCGAGGCCCAAGTCAGAGTTAGCCAAAGTAGTGCTGCCGCAGAAACCGCCGTAGCATACCCGTCTGAAGAATGAAGCGGGTGATGAAAGCCCATATGAATGCACACGGGTGCTACTTGTACAAGGCTGCGTTGTCCATGTTCACAGGCAAGAAGGGCTATGAATATCTCAATGAGACATGGCTCTTCTTCAACATTACTCCGTACACTAAATCTGTTGGTATTGGAAAGACAGCTTCGCCTACATAGTCACTTCCCGTAGTGGTCTTTAAAGGCATCAACACAATTTGCAGTATCAAACCACCTTGTTTTTCGCGACGGGGTTGTTAGGGCTGCAGGTGCGCACTAGGCTTGAATTTTCATCAAAGCATTACTGAATTCGAAACTGCAAAGGTGAAACGAAGGAGTTTGTATTATATATATCTCATTATTCATGCCCAGTCGTGACTGTTGCGGGAGAAGAAGGAAATAAATCAGAGTTGCCACCAACACCGTAGGGCCCGAAATGTACAAGCACTTGACAAGGTATTCAACCCGTTCATAGTGCTATGGAAAAAAGAAGTGACCACAGGCTAGCCATGTTTGCATGCCTTCCAACGTCTACTTCTATGCAGAAACTGAACTTCGCTCAATCTCGAATAATTGAGGTACGAGATCGTCTAGACAGTCTTCCAATCCTCTCCATTTCAGCCCGAGCACTCTCTCAGCATCACTGGCGTCAACTCCAAAATGAGTGTGCTTCTCTCGCTTGCCAGGTTCACCGACTGGGATCTTCTCAGCATATTTTGAAGTCACCTTCCGGCTCACATCGGCAAGTTCTTGGTTGCAATAGACGCCCTGGCAAAGCATGTAACGGCCGCCGCCCGCCTCGGGTACAAGGAGCGCTTTAACATGAGCCTCGGCTACATCTCGCACATCAACCCAACACGGGCCCTTTGTAGGAGGGACGGGTTGGTTTTTGCCAGCAGAGACGACAGACCATACCATAAGGTTGCTCGTGTTGACCTCCTGGATGGACTTTGGCGTCGATCCAGGCAGGAAAGGACCAAAGACCATTGTGGGACAAAGGCTGACTAGATCGAATGCAGGTTTCCTCTCGGAGATGAAACTCCATGCAGCTTTCTCGGCAGCCGTCTTGCTGGCTCGGTAGGCGGTAGGCGCATTGGGGGCATTAACACCATCCTCGTAGGTAAGCGGACTCCAATCTTTAGAAGTGTATGTCTTTTCTGGGGATGGCCCAGCGGCAGCGTCATATATACACGCAAAGCTGTTGGTGTGAACGACTCGCTTAATGCTTGGTATTTGAGTTGCGGCCTCAAGGATTGCGGTAGAACCAAGTACGGCGGGAATCATGAGTTCGGTTTCGAAATTAGTGGCGTTGTAGTGGAAGGGCGCGGCAAGATGAAAAACTGCGCTCGGCTTCAAGTTATCGAAAGCCTTGAGGTAACAATCTGATGAAGTGATGTCGTCGACAACGACTAGTTGCAGGCTGGGGTGTGACTTGTGTGCCTCCTTTACTGGGTCGATTTTAGATGCTGACCTGACGGTGCCAACAACATTATAGCCCTGGTTGAGCAACGCTGCAATACAGTGTTGAGCAATAAAGCCATTGGCACCAGTGACAATAACTGTCGCAGGGGGGCTAATAGGGGAGGCGATTTTGGAAGGCATAGTTGATTCGTGTCGTACGCCGAATAAATTTGTCGTTTGGACACCTTGTCTCGATAGCCTCTCCCTGGAGTATCACGACATACGTCCATACCTCAAGAGGATACCCAGACCTTTAAGTGTAAAATAGAACGGCCAGAAACCGGCCAGAGGCCACAGGACAACAAGTCATGTCCAGAAACCCCAGCCAGCTCTGCGGAGCCAAGGGATCTGTTTTTCGGAAGAAAAATAAGCGCAGCATTCTGCTAGCTCCAGTCCGGCGGATACTCTGCTGGAGCAAAAGCGTGGCGTCCTCGCCATTGCCAACTGGGTCGTTTCCAGAACAGTGACTAATGATATCGTAGGAGTAGGGTACCAACAGGAAATCTGGTTGTAGCGAGGTAACTACTGCTGAGAAACAGCGAAAAGGTCCCCGAGCTGTCAACTTGCCTGGACTTTTCGCCCTGGTGGATGCCTCGAGTTTCTGGCTGCTTAATCCCTGACTGCAGCCGTCGCAATTGCAAGTGCTGTCTGGTGTTAAGTGGGGAGCATTTATACCCAGCATTGGCTATTCGTGTTTGTCATTGAGTTTATGTTTATGTTCCCTAGGAATGGCCAGGACGTTTCTCCATCCGTGTTAAACACATATTGCGACCCGAAGGTCCGGCTCAACGCGAAACCAGGTTTGTTGTTGGCTGCTTCGTCTGTATATGGGCTCCAACGTTGTAGCTCCGGAAATACTCTCCGGGCTGCGTTGAGACGACACTGAATATGCAATTAAACGACCCCGGGTTGGCAAATCCAGGAGAGCCGTACGTTCTTAAACCTGGCGATTGCAAACATGGAACCCTATTGGGGGAAGAATCGATTTCTACATCGGACTCTCCCGGTGGTGAATGGCTCTTCTCTTCAACAATTGGCGGGATTCGCCGTCGCGAGAGCAACAGGCACAGCCATCCTGGAGCTGTCCAAGTTGTCGCGGGCCATTTCGACGACTGGAAACTGATGACAAGCGCATTTGGCAAATGAAGGCGTCGCCAATAGAGGCCCCGTCATGACGCTCCGTGCCCTTCAGCGCATACCTCTGCAGGGCGCTGTGGCGCTGCGCCGCGCCGCCAAACTTTAGAAGCCATGGTTTAGGGCTCTTCTCTTCCGACGGAAAGCATCAATCCAACAAGAACAGCAGTCTTCATCATGGATGAGCAGTCAAAGTTGAAACCATGGGATCCCATGACATCGTATGGTCCGTATGCGCGGCTGTGTACTTTGACAGTTGCCTGTTGCCGATCGGCGTTGGGGCCAAGTAGCAACTAAGGCTTAGTACTTTAGTTTAAGATACCCGCAGAGCATCATGCCACGGGAGATCAAGAGTACTCGACGCCTTCGGAGTCAATCAACGCCGCCAGGTGGTCGGATACGACACCTTCTGTCCATAAACTGTACATATTGAAACGGCCAAGTTCCGATAAGCACCATGAGATAGGGTCCTCGCAAACGTTGCGGCGAATAATGTTGCCTGGATTGTTCCGTCATCTCCCCAATTCAAGAATTCGAGCCGCTTGGTTCATCCGTTCCAGTCAAGCGGTCGTAGCAACCTCGACCCTATTTCACGTCCGCGGCAACATGACATAATGCCGAAAACTGTGCCAACATACTGTGCTGATTTCTATTGGCTGTTTCTATGCGACGATTGCTTTGTTTGTCTCCTGGAAGTTGTTGATTTCGCAGCCGGCGGATCATGAAAGTGCGTCGCTATGCATCGGAACAAACTCTGCTTAATGCCGCCGTCGGCCGATGTCTGAACTCTGTGTGATGCATGGGGGCAAGGAGAGTGAGTCTTGGATGCCAGCCGAGAGCAAATTGTTGTCGACAAGCTGCGCGCACTTTGTTGATCTCGGAATGGTGAGATTGTCCGGGCGAACATTGAAGCTGCCCAGCCAGAGAGCAAAAGCTAGAGCACCGCCGAGCAGGAGCCCCCTCCATCCTAAAGTGCTACCTCGTGCCGCCCTTGCCTGCTGGGCCGTCAATCAGAAGGAGGCCGCGGAAGGTTCGAGGCGACGCGCCTGCCCCGTCGCAAACATCATGTGGATCGACCGCACCGCTGCCAGAGAGAGAGGCTCGGATCTCCCCAGCGCCCAAGGAAAGGCTCAAATTCCCGCCAGACGTTTCCATGTTCCATTCGCGCAGGCCATTTGGTGTCGACGGCTCGAATGTCAATGCTGCCCGACAGCCACACCACGCAGCATAGCATACAGCATACGGTTGGAGCTCAGAAGTATTCGACTCGACCTGGTGCTTATTTCTCTTGCAGTATATGCATATGCAGTTACACGCTGCGAGAGGCTCGCGGACACCTGGCGGCCACATCAACCATGCAAATTGTGCATCATGGACAATAATCTGATAATTCGATTTTCTGCCATTGCTTGCGGTGTATCAATACCGACGGAGACCACGCCCGGCGCCCCGACTTCCGGCAGGGCTGATGCAATGACCGGCGCATAGAGCTGCGGAAAGGGGTTCCGTGACTTGAACATGTGTATGTCATTGGCATCCTATTCTTGCCGTCCTGTCTAGTCTTTTACAGATGAAACACGACGTGGTGACAAGGCCAATGCGGCCGTGGGCTCTCTCCATTTACAGAGAAACACAAGTAGATGATCGACGACATGGTCATACTCGGCTTGTAATAATTACTATCAATGGGGCCAACCCCCGCGAAGACAGACGCACAGGCCCGTACTGATGAGCCGTCGCGAAGCTCAAGGATTCAAGTTGGATTCACATGTTGAAAGCTTCTCATGACCTCCACGGTGGAAAATCTCGCATCGTGTTATGCATATCATAGCACCAGTAGTCGTTCATCATCTCCACCACCGCGGGAATTTCAATAGCATAGCCCTCAGATAAAGGACGGATCCCAAGAAAGTAAAATCATGCATACCCATGACAATGTAACGAATATCCCATCCCGGAGCCAATCATCCCTTGTTAGTACACGTACCGGAACGCCGGGTTCGTCCTATCCGTCATCGCCTCTTCCTCCTCAACACGGACACGAATCTCTCCCCTATCGATGGCTTCTACCTCGGCAATCCTCACCGCCTCTGTCTGTCTGTTGCGCCATCCGTAAAGCAACCTCAGGAGGATGGTCACGAGCATGGCGCCTCCGCAAACACCAAACACGGTAATCTTGGCCGGAAGATACTGCGGCGCATTCTCCTTGCGGAACGTCTGCGGCCCGATAATGTTGGCAATGGAAAAGCAAATAGCGACGGCGGCATTTGTTGCCACCTTCTTGGTGTAGCCCTGGGTGTTGGCACCCACGAGGGCGTAGATGAGAGCCAACGGGGCGACGTCAAAGTTGATGAGATAGATGCCCGCAAGAGCTCCCGCCTGGGAGTGCGAGTAGAACGACATGAGGCCCGCCCCAATGAGAGTCGGCACCAGGAGCAAAATGATGGCCAGCCAGCGGGGGAAGTTGTACAGAATGGCAAACGTCCCCGCGAGCGTGGCGGAGACGGATACGACGCCCGAAGGCATGTTGAGGAGTGCCGCCGTCTTGGGCTTATACCCGAACCCGGCAATCAGCGTCGCCGAGAAGGTGGTAATGATGCCAGAGGGAATGACGATGAGAATCGTATTGAGGCAGAGCAGCCATACCTGCAGGTCAGTCGCCGCTTCAAGTATGTCGCGGGCCCGGAATACCTTCTTTCCATTGCCAGACTGATCCCTCGAAAGGGCTTCTTTGACGAGCAATTTTTCACCGTCGCTGAGGAATTTGGCCTTGTCAATACTTTGAGGCATAGCAAACGTCACAGCCGCGCCCACGGCCAGGTTAAACGCGCCGACAGAAACAAACATGATGCGCCAACTTTCAAACGACGAAGTGGCAGAGCCGTGCTGCGCGGCCCAAGACACCAGGCCGCCCAGGGTTTGACCAACCCCCAAGCCGCAGTACCATATCCCCGTGCGTGGAGTAGCCTGCCGCCTCGTATACCACTGGGACGTGATCATGATGAGAGCCGGGGTGATGACGGCCTCAAACATGCCGAGGAGCGTGCGGACGGCCGTCACGCCGGCAAAGCTCTGCGTGGCAGCGGTGCAGCAGATGGTCACGCCCCAGAGAAGAACGTTGATGCCGAGGACCTTGGTCACAGGGAAGCGTTGGATGAGGTAGCCCTGGGGGAACTCGGCCACGGCATAGCCGATAAAGAAGGCTGTTGCCATCCACGAGAAGTCGTTGCCGTCCTTGAACTCGAGACTCTTGGAGATGCCCATGATATTGGCATAGTTGATGAGCACCTTGTCAAGAAACTGGAGGAAGTAGCAGAGGAACATGAGCGGCATGATGGCCCAGTCGATCTTGCGGACGGCACGCCGAAGCCGTTGGCCAGAGGCGTCCTCGACCACAGACTGGCTCGAAGCCTCGCAGCTGGACGCCTCCTTATCCAGCGTCTTGCTATCCATGGCCACGCGGTGGTCTTGTCTGGATGCCGTGGTTGTTCAGAATGGTCGAATCTTGTCGGATGTCAAGATGAAGAAGAGTCGGTTGCTGTTGCAGCCTTTGATCAAGGACACCGATCCCAAGTGCCGACGATGGCAAAACTGGCCCTTGCCAGAAGTCCCAAGACAAACACGGTCGATGAGGGATCGCGCCGGCGCTATATACAGAATTGTCTTGCCCAAACCAGCAGTTTGCAGCAGGGGTAAAAGGGAGCAGAGAGATAAGACGGCAAAAAGCCACCACTGGCAAACGTATCGCGACGCTTCGGTGCCGACTCCCTGCCGACCTCGTAGCTTGCCCGTCGCGTAGCGCCAAAGATGCGCATCGCGCTCCGGACTTGGCAGAGAAATGTCTACAGCCCAAAGTTCATGTCACGAGAGTTCCGCCACAAAAGCCACCAGCCATTTCTGCCCGGCTACACTTCTTCCCCGGATTTTCGTCTCGCCCCGAACCCACCTAACGTTGTCGGAACTTGGTGGCTTGTCACTATTCCCACACATCCGAAGACTACACACGG